CCCCTTCTGGGCCAGCCCCGCCCAAGGCCCCAGAACATCACACTTACATCCTGGCATGTGGGGCCTGCCCAGCTCAGCTGCAGAAGAGCAGCCTGCAGGGATTCTCAGCAGCTGGAGCAGCAGGGAGGTCACCTCCCATCAGGAAAGAGAGCTGCATGGATCTCCCCCACCATTTTAACTGAAATCCCCTCGACTGCACGGAAATCCTGCTCAGCCTGCATTTCCTGGAAAGCAGCCAAACTGCTGTAGCTGCTGTAGCCAGCCCAGCTCCCCCATTCCACTCAACCCACTGACTCAACTTCTTCCTCACACTGCGGCTGCCATGTGGCACAGAGGCTGCTCTTATCCTGGAGATGGGGCGGCAGCAGCGTGCACGGCCAGACCAAAGGGGCCCCCAGCTGCACTGCATGCCCCCTTCAAATAGTACTGTGCGGTGCAAGGTCAAGCGGCTCTGAGGCCCACTCCACAGTAATCAGAAGGGGAGAAACAGGTCGCTCCCAGCCGAGGCAAGCTCATCCTAGGGGGCTGTTTGTGGATCACGTCATTTCCTGGCCTGCAGTGTCACCGCCAGAGGAGTTTTCCCTCTCTCTGCTCAGAGTAGACTGGCTTTTCTAAGAGACTTGGGCTGCCTGAAGTTTGGTCATTAACCCTACCCCCAAGGCACTGACTGACCCTCAGCAGATTTGCCATCCCCTTGACTGCCACAACGTGCTGCTGCATGAAGGTCTGGGCTGCCTGGCCACTAAGGAAGGGCCCTGGGTGGTAGCTGCTCGTGACTGTAAGAGCTGGCAAAGATCTCAGGCGTGCGTACTCCCGTTCTGGCATCGCTGCCTTTCACAGGGCATGACCTCTCCCCACCCCCAGCAGACATAAAGCCACTGGATTGCTAATCCACTCACCTTCCTGCAAGTACATCACAGCCTGAGAGTAGTTCTGCAGGGCATGGTGCGTCCTCCCGAGGCTGCTGTAGGACATGGTTTTGGCCACCAAGTCATTCATTTGAGCTGCAATGCTGAGATGTTGCTCCTGATAAACCACTGCCCTCTCGTAGGTGCCCAGTGACTCATACGTTAGTCCCAGGTTCCCATACGCTCTGCCCTGGTGGGTGGGATTGTTGGTCTCCTCTGCAATCTGCAGGTCCAGCTGGTGGTACTGCAGTGCGGTGTCGTACTCACCCATTTGCTGATAGACTCCCCCCAGCCCACAGGCGGCATCGCTCTCCAGAGCCTGGTCTTTCATTTCGCAGGAGATGGCTTGCTCGTAATTTCCTAATTGGCTGTGCAGACTCCCCAGCTCCCCATAGGCCTGGGCTTTGTTGAACGCCTCCCCAAGCTCATGGGCCACCACGAGCCGCTTCTCAAAGCAGACCAGAGCCTGCTGCAAACTTCCCATTGCCCTGTGCAGAGAGAAAAGCAGCGTTTGCTTTGCCTGGGTGGGCATGACATAAAAACCATCTTCCCCTGTCCCGTCCTGCAGAGAATCTCTGCTCTGCAGTTGGCTCATGTCTGGCATGGCCCCACCGCTAGCTCTCAGGGAATTTCAAAGCTACCATCACTGAACTTGCCAGGAAAGAGAGACTCACAAAAGCTACATCAGGCCCAAAGAATTGTTCAGGCCTCCTTTGTCCCCTGTAAACTCCCCACTCCCAGGGCACTGGGGCAGGGAAATGGAAGTTTAATTATTCTGGGTGATAGCACAGCCTGCATAACCTCACCCCTCACCACCCAGACAGCTCGGTCCTTCCTCAGCACCTGGTGAATATATCCTGCCCCACACCACTGCAGCTCCTTATAGCCACACGCAGGCACCCCTACAACCTCTCCACCACCCGCTTTCCATACACATATGCACTGCAGTCATGCATCTCCAATACACATCTCTACACATACACCCCCCCAGTCTCCATGTATCCTCCACAGCCATACACCTCCAACATACATCTATTCACACATCCTCCACAGCTTTACAGCCTCATATCGGTACATGTACTCACAACCCACACAAATGCATCTGTAAAGCTTCCTCTCCCCCATACTATCTCTGCACATACCTTGCCCTATGCCCACCCCCTTAGCTGTCCATCCATATCTCTAAACAAATCTTTGTCTCCCCACAGGACACACACAGCTTGCTAACCAGTGACTGCATAGTGTGAGACAAATGCAGCACATTGTCTTGCGTCTGGGTGCTCAGGCTGGTTCCCTGCCAGCAACTCCCACTGGGAGCATGTGCACCCATATTCTGGCTGTGACACAGGTCACCATGGAATGACATGAATAGGGAAGGTCACCACAGAAAACAATCATCATCATTTGGCTATTTCCACTCATGCACTTCCAAGCCATTTATCATTGCCAAGGGCCATGCAACACTGCAGCCCTCGGCTTTTGTTACCTGTGCCCGTTTCCCAGGCCCCGATAGGCCTTCGCCTGGTCGTGCATGCGATTTAAGCTCTGAGCAACAGACAAGTACTGCTCATAATACTTGATGGCTTCTTCGTAATCTCCTAGAGCCTCGTAACAATCGCCCAGGTTTCCGTAGGCTCGGCCTCTGTCCAGGACAGCTTCATTTCCACTCAGCTGCTGCAGCATGGCAAGCTGCTGCTCGAAGTACCCAATAGCTTCCTCCATGACATTCATGTTGATCTTGGTGATGCCCATATTGCCGTAGACTTGGGCCTCTATACTGGGGTCCTTTAGCTTCTGTCCAAGTTCCAGCTGCTCTTCGTAACTCTTGAATGCCATGGTGTATTTCCCAAGGGACATGTAGACTGCAGCAAGGTGGCCATGGGCTCTGCATTCACCCGGCAGATCCCCTAGCTCCTGGTAAACCTCCAGTTCCTGTGTATGGTACCCTAGGGCCTTGTCGTATTTCTGTATCATCCTGTACCCAGAGCCCAAGGCTGCATAGGCGCTGGCCTCCAATCTCCTGTCTTTGACATGATGGGCTAAGCTCAGCTGCTGCTCATAGAATTTTATTGCACCACTGACATCTTTTTTACATATAAAAATATCTCCCAGGTTCCCGAGTGCCCGGAATTTGGCTTGGGAGTTGTTCAGAGACTGGGCCAGAGACAGCAGGTACTTCTGGCACTCCTCGGCTTTGCTGAAGTCCATTAGGGCCTTGAACGCCAGGCCCAGGTTGCAGTAGGCCTTGGCTTGGCTCAGCTTGTCATGCAGGTCCTTTGCTAAGGCCAGATCCTGCTCGTAGTACTTTACAGCCTCCTCATAGTTCCCCAGGCAGTAATGGGCATAGCCAAGGTTGTGGCACACTTTCCCCTCCCCCTCCATGTCCTGCAGCTCTGGGGACAGGCGCAGGTATTGCTCATAGTAAGGGGCTGCCTGCACATACTCTCCTCGTGAGCAATGGAAGTTCCCCAGGTTACTGAGGGCCCGAGCTTCACTCTGTATGTCCCGCAGCTCCCGGGCGATGTTGAGGTGGTTTTGGTAGTGCTGCAGTGCCCGGTCATGGGCACCTAATGCCTGGTAGGCCACTGCTAAGTTCCCATGGGTGGATGCCGCCACGTAATGCCGGGTAGGCCACTGCTAGGTTCCCATGGGTGGATGCCTGCGAGGCCCGATCATTCACTTCCATCGAAATCTGCAGCTCCTGCCGGTGGTATTTCACAGCCTGATCATACATGCCAAGGGCGTTGTAGGCATTGCCCATGTTGCCATAGGCCCTGCCCTGAGCACCATAGTCATTCAGCTCCTGCGCAATGCACAAGTGAGTTTTGTGGAGCTTCAGGGCAGAGTCATAGTCGCCTTTCATCTGGTGAATGATCCCTGAGGAGGAACAGGAACAGACATTAGAGAGAAAAAAGCCCCTCAGCACTGCCCCTTCCTCACAGCTCTGCCTCTGCCCCTTCCCCACAATGCCACCCCCTGCCTTCCCGCACAGGGTTGCCTCAGCCCCCACACTGCTTCTCCCCCACAGCTCTGCCTCCGCCCCCCCACACTGCCCCTCTCCCATAGTGCTGCCTCTGCCCTAAGGATATAAACGACGAGTTGAGCTGTCGACTATCCAATAAGCCTCAGCTTATCAGGCAGTCACTACTCAGCTACTTGCTTCCCACCCCCCCTTGCTACTTCAGAAGCAGCAAGGATAGAGGGAGCAGAAGAT